CTAAACCCTAAGCCCTAAACCTCCAGCCGGCTGCCAGGTCAACCCTAAACCCCAAACCTGCGCAACAACCCGAGGCCCGATTGACTGCCGGACAGGTTCCAATGCAAGCGAGAGCTCGTACCTATAGTCTCCATTGTAGTNNTGTAGTTCCTTTTTGTGGCTTAACCAAATATATATATATATATATATACATACATATATATATATATATAACTACGAGTTTATAAGGTATCCCCAAAAAGGAACTACAATGGAGACTATAGGTAGATCTTGAAACAGAAAGCCCCTCAACATCCGCATGAAGACTGCAGATATCAACTACAGGACTATTTAGGACTCTAGACTCTGCCCAGACCTACATGCAACACCCCGTGTTCAAAAAATCGTCGCTGCCTGTCCTGCAAGTGAAAAACCCTTCGGAAGCCTTTTGAAACCACACACCCTCAAACCCAAAGCTCCTAAACCCTAAACCCTAAACCGCTAAACCCTCAACCCTCAAACCCTAAACCGCCAAACCCTCAACTCCTTAAATCCGAAACCCTCAAGGCCCTCAACCCTCAAACCCTCAACTCCTAAACCCTCAACTCCTTAAACCCTAAACTCCTAAACCCTCAACCCTCAAACTCTAAACCCTCAACTCCTTAAACCCTCAAACCCTAAACTCCTAAACCCTCAACTCCTTACATCCTAAACCCTCAAACCCTCAACTCCTAAACCCCCAACTCCTTACATCCTAAACCCTCAAACCCTAAACTCCTAAACCGCTAAACTCTCAACCCCTTGAATCCTAAACCCTCAAACCTAAACCCACGGAAATCCTGGGACCTCGGCTCTATCCAGGACCATCTGAAGCCCAAGCCACCTCCTCCCCCGGGCCCCCAACCACACCGTTTGAGTTTGGGGTTTAGGGTCTAGGGCTTGTAGAGTTTAGGGTTTAGTGTTTTTAGGGTTTAGGGTTTAGGGTTTGGGGTGTTTAGAGTTTAGGGCTCCTCCCCAAACCTTTTGATGCCCAAATCTCTATAACCCCCGAATCCCGAATCCCCAAAACTTCTGTTCTACTCCCGAAAGCAAATCCTTCTGCAAACGATCCCAACATTTCAATGCAGGTCCAGGAGAATCTCCCGCCGGGGCCACGCGCGATCGTTCAAGAGCCGAGGTCCTGACTTTGCGAAGAAACTTCGGTCTTTTGAGGGTTCTTTGATAGTAGGGTTGAGGCCAGGGTTGGACTTTAGGGCTTAGGGCTTGGAGCTTTTTCCGGTTGGTGATTTGGGTCTTCGGGGTTAGGCTTCTACGTAGCGGAGGTGGGACTTGTCTTTGTTGCATGGGTTAGGAAATCGGACAGCTGCAAGGCCGTCAAGCTTCCGATTACGAGTTTTCTCGGGTCGTGGGTTCAGAGCGGGGGGACTGATTGCAGACTCGATCGGGCATTCTGCCACATGTCCTTGAGACAGGTGCATCAAGTAATTCCTGGCTGTCGAACCTGAACTCTGAAGTAGGCCCTAAACCCTAAGCCTTATAAGCCCTAAGTGATCCCGAAGCCTTCAGTTTGATACCCCTAGTTCTCTAATAGAAGTCCCACAACAGGTTCAAGAGGGTTTGCGGGTACAGAATGCCGTGATTTGCAAGAAGAATGAGAGGATGCTATATTTTTAGTTGTGCTACCTCTTGAAATCCGAGTCTCTGAGGGCTGCATCGGCGTACCTGGGTGTTTTCTCGATGTCCCTTAAGGTTGCCAGGGTTTGGGCTTCGAGTTTAGGGACGCAGGATGAGGGAGGATGCAGGGCAACCCCAACCCACATGCCAAGACTTTTGGGTTTAGGGTTTAAAGGGTTTAGGGTTTAGGGTTCAAGGATGTAGGGCAACCCCAACTATCTGACTTCCTGGGATGCCCAGTTACCTAGGATTAAAAAGGGCTCCCTTTTTGGGGTACTGAATACCTTCATAAGGAACCTACGACTTCAAAAGGGGAAAAAGGCCCCACTTGGAGACCAAGCTTTGTTGAAAACAAAATTCTGCTCAACAGCGGCCCTGGTACATGTAGTAGATGGCTTTGCTTAGGAGCAGCGGCAGATCACACGCCTGGCGATGGTGGTGCTTTAACAGAAGGGGCTACCAATTTAGCCAGGGGTCCTGATACTTCGGGCCCCACCAGTCAGGGTCTATATCGGGGTTCATCACGAAAACACCCATTTTGAGACAATCAACAGGCCAGATCAGATAAGAATGAGGCGAGGGAAGGCAAGGTAAAGCAAGGTAAGGTAAGACAAGGCAGGATGGACAGAGGTATTGAAAAGTCCCTGCAAACGTAAGGGTCAGAGAGTACGGGAGTGGAAGGGAGGATAAGGTCAAGGCAGGCAAGGTAAGGCGAGACAAAAACATGTATGTAAAGGTTAAAGCAAAAACAAAGGTAAGAGTAAGGGCAGGGGAGCGGAAGTGAAAGTAATGTCCACGTCAAGGTACAAACCGGCAGGGCGAGGTACGGTAAGGTAGGGTAGGGCAGGGGGAAGGAAAGGTCAGGGAAGCTCAGGTAAGGCACGCAAACGTGAGGTATATGACGTAAGTTTTATAAAGCAAAGCAAGATACGTATTGTAAACTGTATACAGACATTCACCAAAGCATTCAAACCCTTCCATGCTCGAAGAAGTGGTGGCAATGCAGACATGTGGTCATGCCAAGTGACATGCAAAGGGCCGCTGTCCTCAGTTCTGCAAAGTTACGGGCCAGCTTAGGAATAGTGTATCGCAATTACAAAAGACTTCAAGGAAGCGGGAACGCCAAAGCGGGCATGCATCCAGATATGTTCGCAGACAGCATTTGCGGAAGAGCAACAACAACAACCATCACAACCACATTTACAAGCAGTACTACGACAATGATTACCACTACCCCTGCTGCTACTGGTGCTGGTACAAATACCACTAGTACTATAAGGCTGATAACAAATTCTGATGATGTTGAAATACCAGTAAGAAACATGCCAATGAGCCACTGCTTACAATTGCTTTTTTGCAATTGCGACCACAATAAAACCTCTGAGTCCGATGCCAACAAGAAACAATCTCGCGCACCAACTTTCAGGGGTTTAGGGGTTTAGGGTTTTGGGTTTCGACTCTCACGCTCGCACAAGGCAGGCAAGGTTCTGGGTTTAGAGTCTAGGGTTTAGGGTTTAGGGTTTAGGGTAACTTTCACCACGGCTCCATGAAGAGCCGCAACTTCGGAGGATCCAGGGACTCGCTGGCCACCGCCTGAAGGGCGAACGGGGCGCTTGAGGGCTCGGCTCCGTTCCCGCGTTTGGGCGCTTTGCATGTCGGGATATAGGGTTTAGGGTTTAGGGTTTAGGGGTTTAGGGTTTAGGGTTTAGGGTGGCAGGTGCCCCCAAAAAGTCCTAAGTACCGAAAAAGTAGAGAGTTTGGTTTGTATTGTAGGAGTGGATGGACAACGGGGTGATCATGTTTGATAGGGACTTGGCATACTCCTTTTTGGCGGGAGGAGGCCTTCTAGTCTAGGGCTTTTGCTTCAGGAAGCCAGGCGCCAACCCCAAGGTTCAATCGAGAAACCGTTGCTACGCTGAGGGTTGTTTCAGTATGCACCTACTGTCTCCATTGTAGTTCCTTTTTTGGTTTAACCAAATATATACTAACGAGTTTATAAGGTATCCCCAAAAAGGAACTACATTGGAGACTATAATATAGGCAGTATGCAGTATTCAATATTTGTGCTTGGTGGCTTTGCCTGGGCTCAGTATACTTCTGAATGCAACTGAAGGCCAAAATTACCAGACTGGGGTCTGCCTCGTTGTACGCTTCGAGATGGCGCTGCTGGCGAAAGAGCCTGTCAAGTGCGGGCACTTCTGCCACTGACGATGTTCGAAGAGTGGGGTTAAGGGCTTGGCAGAGGGCTTCGGGGTAGTGGGGCTGTTAATTTCCGTGCACTGCCCTGGCCATTTGAATGCTGCCTTTGCTGGGAACTCGGGACCTCGGAGGGGACCCTTTCCAGTCCGTGACGATCGGCAATGGAGGACGGACTACGTCAGATTCCGCGGTATGGTCACATGGCCTTCGTAGCTATATGTCCGAACTTCAGGGCACAAAACAGGAGTACACCCGACGTTTGACAGCATGAAAGGCGACCAGTTACGCCAAGAAACAGCTGGATCAAAGCCACCCGCGCATACAGGAAGTCTGCCTCCAAGCTAATGGTTCGCTTCAGCCACTTCTCCCCTTTCTTCTCGTCGCTGAACCTCTGCTTTGCATGAACGGGGCCTACTCATGGCTCTTCGTGTGCTTCACCCGACACGGATGCCAAAAGCCCTGAATCATTGCAGCTCACCAACACCCCATCTCCCGCGCGCGTGCTCCAGGCACAGTTTCAATTGCAAAACAAAACCATGTCAGGGAAGTGGTAGACATCGAAGTTGAGGTGTGCTTCAGCTTGCTTACTTTAGTATTTAAGCCTTTCAGTGGCGGCAACGAGGAGCTTTGTATATGATACTAGAGCGAAGGGTCAGGTCCTCACTGTCAGCCTTCAGCAGTGTAGGTGTGAGGGTTCAGGACTCTCCCCCAGTCGGTTTTCAGGATCATAGGTTTGGGGTCAGCGTAGCTTCAAAACTGATACTGCGACAAGGTATACCTCCGGACACTTCCTAGACCCTTCATCTACCCTCCATTATCAGGGACCAGATGCCACTGTTTGAGGGTACAAGGAGGGTCCTGGTACCCCCTGGATGTCTGAGAGCATCCTGAGTGACTAGAAGCTGCAGCGGGCAATAGCTGCCTCCACTTTCGACTTCTAACCTCAAGCCCGACGAAAACATATCAGCTCAGCGCCGTGCAGGTCGAGGTAGGTGCGAGCGCAAAAGTAAGCTGCGGCAGACCGCTGCTGCCGTCCCTCCTTCTGAGAAAAGCTGAGCTTGCGGCTTAAGAGCTCAGTGGGTACGGTGATGATTTGGGTTTGGGTGTGGGGTGGCTGGAATTAAGAGCATGATTGTGTAACTTCGCTGAAGATTAGCAAGGCTTTGGCTTCACCTACCACCCACCCACCACCTACCTACCTCCCTACCAACCCAAAACGTGCATACGCACGTACACGCTCAGACTTACATACATGCACACCTACCGACCTACCCACCCCCGCACCCACCCCACTGCCTGCCTACCTGCCTGCCTCCTACATACATGCATACCTACATGCATACATACATACATGCATACATACATACATACATACATACATACATACATACTTACCTACCTACTTACCTACCTGCATACCTGCCTACCTCGTGGCATTACATTGCATAGGATAAAAGGTATCATACATATGTTGCATATGCCTTTACATACAGCATGATACACATACACAAACACATGTACGCATACATATCGACAGACAAACAGACAGACAGCCAGCCGGCCAGGTAGGCAGGCAGACAGACTGGACAGACATACTGACAGGCTGACAGAAGACCAACCTTGGTACGGTGCACGTGTGTCCCATCAACTATTTACGCACAGTCCGTGCGGCGACATGCCACGGAGAGTGCGATTCATTGTGAATTCTCTTGCATTGGCTTCATTCATTTCGGAAACGAATTGTGTTAATACGGGCAGTGCATTGAGGTCATGTCTCTGAAGCCACCAGTGCATGGGAGGAAGCTTTCTGGCAGAACCCTCTAGCAGGGAAGCAGTGCGGACGTGTCATCCCGCCAGTAGATGCGGGGAAGCATTTTGGTGGTGGTGCAGTTCTGCTGCTGGCTTCGTAGCGGATTCCTGGTGATCTCCTGGTGGTCTCCTTGCTTGCGGTCACCTGGTAGTATCCACGAGGGGGTTTGTCGATGATCGTGCTGGTCGTGCTTGTCCTGGTCGTCCTGGTCGAAGAGTATTTTAATCCGAGAAAACCGGTCAGTCGTCACCCCGCACAACCTTAGAGTAGAAGCTAGAAAGTTGGAACACGATTATCCTTTTGCCCCTAAGGCAAAGTATGAGGGATCCCAACACCAATCCTCCTAAACCCATGTTCCAACTTTCTGAATTCGCCGTAAACCCTAAACCCTAAACCCTAAACCCTAAACCCAAAGCCCTAAGCCGAAAACGTAAGCCCCACCAACCCCGAAGTCCGGTTCCTGGCTCCCTGCCGTCCCGCTGTCGCGGGCGCGCCGTGCGAGGGTCTTCTGGGCCTTGGGTAGTGTTAGGGGTTTTCGGTAGTATTATTAGGGTTTAGGGTTTAGGGTTTAGGGTTTAGGGTTTGGGGATTAGAGTTTAGGGTTTAGGGTTTGGTAGTATTAGGGGTACCCCTGAAAGGGTACCCCTTCTGAACCCTACTTTTGGCTCTCTTCAAAGGAACCTTATTGAGAGGGTCTATATGGGAGTTTCCGAAAA